ATGGGACCATGTTAAAATTCACCTTGAGGAGTAAACTGGTGTTTCGTAGACCCGTTCGTTCCCCGTTATATTTCTTCTGTATACCACCTCCTTTTTCTCCCAGAACACCCAATGCAACGATGTCACTGAGTCAGTTATTGTAACTGCTGTCTTCTTTGTAGAATAATTGTTGAGCGTATCCTGTCCTGTGGTCTTCTAGTAATGATTGCAATCTCACAAATGAAGTTCTCCCCCTCCTCACACTGTGGTGATGTCTCTGGAGGAGATATGTAGCCTGTGTGCTACCCACTGAGGCAGCCGCTACCATCCATCCAGCCGCAATCAAGAAACACAGGGGTGCGGATATCATTGTGGTTTGGGCCTTTTGTTGCACTAACAATGTCCTCATTCGAGTTCTTTCTGCTGTTGGATTTTCCATTTTTCAGACCCTGGACAGTCTGGCAGATTGAAATACCGTTTGCCAGCTCACTTGTCATGTTTTACTCACCCCCAATGTCTGATATTTATGACCCCAAAGGCATACACCTTGTTTGTTTCCCTGTTTGTTTCCAGCTGTTTTGCAGTTATTTCTTCGCTAAATATTGGCTGTGGTGATAGCAGCCAGGTTCAGCCTCCACAGACAAAAGCTTCAGCGCCGTAAGGCTCGTAACACACTGCCCTGCTACATCTTTGGTGGGCAGCTGGGTCTGCCAGTCTTGGTCCCCCTCCAACCATTAACAACCCATTGAAGAGAAACACACAGCATGGTAGTGTAGTCAGAGTGGAAAGCATCACTCTTTCAAGAAACCCCAGTCCAACTGTTACGTTGGTCGGAGACTGAGTCGACATCTCAGAGAAGCATTTAAGACATGAGAAAGATTAACCTGTTGATGTTACTGAAAGACAAAAATCCAACAAATAATTTTCTGTTTGTAATCTCATAACAATGAAAACAAATGGAAATAAGTATTTTAAGCGCATGTGCCAAGTCAGATCCAAACAATACCAAATCACCCACATGCATTTTCCCTGTGCAGATAATGAGAAGGTTAGTGTTTGTACTTGTTGTCCATGTGAGCAGAGCTGGTCTGCCTGCCCTCTCTTATTGTACACCAGGTTTGCTGTTCGCCCTGTTCACGTGACACCATCATAACAGCTCAGTAACTGGTGATGTAATCTGTCTTTTAATATTTCTCAACACCCTGGTCAATGCGATCATGTCTCACTCAGTGTAAGACTTACAAGGTGCTTCACAGATAAAACACTGTACCGTATAATACAATAATAATTTTGGCAAATACTGAGAAATAAATCAAAATAAAAAATATATAAGTGGCTCTTTAAGAGCTGTTAAAAATACAGCAAATTCTATTATAAAATTAAAATATAATACTGGTGAACAGCTGTGATAGATTTAATAAACTGTATGTAGACAGGTTGTGCTTAAAGAGAACTGGTTATGGACAGGTGTGAACAGGAAGTCAAAAGGTAATGCACATAAACATATATATATATATATATATGCGATAGTTTAACAACCTGTAAATTGTGGTAAAAATAAAGTGACAAATTAATGAGCTTCACAGGTCAAAAGCTCAACAGTCTTATGAGCTACTGGATAAAACTGTCCCAGAGCCCAGTGGTGTGGGACCAGATGGTAGCGCTGGCAGCTGGCAGAACAAGTTTTGGCTGTGGTGATTGGGGTCTTTGGTGATCCTGTCGGCCTTATTCCTCCACTGCTGGGTGTGGAGGTCCTCCAT